CCCCCCGCCATTCCCTCTCCTCTTACCTCCTTTCCTGGCTCGACCTTCAGGGCCCCCACGTCTCCAAGCGCCTCTGTTGTTTGGGTCCCGGTTGCTAGGCAACCACCCAGCCTCGGCGACCGCCCAGCCCGGCCCCGGCCACCGTCCCCGAAGCCTTGGGTAGGGAAGAGGCGGCCGGCTGCGTGGTCTGGGCGTGCGGAGCGGGCACAGGGACGCACGCACTTGCTTTACGAACGGAGCCGTTGGCGTTTGGTGACAGTCCCGCGCCGACACGTAAATATCGACTATACATGGAAAGGCACCCGTCCCCGCGCAGGCGCGAGTTCTTTGCCCCGGGTCTCCTTCCAGAAACCGAGATGTGTGCCCACACCCAAGTTATGCACACGCATTCCTCCCCCACCTCCCGGAGTGCACACGGGAGTGACCACCGACTTCAGAGAGGCTCTTCCCTGCAAGAGGTAACGAGTATTTGAGCAATGCTCAATATTTTAGCCATCTCTCTTTAAAAAAAGAGAAGCAAATATTAACCGTGCCTGAGGACTGTTCTAAGCATTGAAAAAAATGTTCACACTAGGGACCAGCAGTTGGCTAATGGTTATGTCGCTGGAGTCCCATGTAGCTGACCGCGGTTCGAATCCTGGACCCGGTGGCTTAAACTCACGCTGGGCGCGCACGCGCGCGTGTGTGTGTGTGTGCCCAAGATCCCAAGAGGAGAATGGAGGAGAAGGGATTGTGGTGTGGCCATCCCCGCTGGGGGGTGATTTCTCGCTTTCTGTCTCTCTGTGTCTTTCTGGCGAGTGCACGCACCCTATAGCAAAAACCTCTCAAAAAAAAAAAAAAAAAAAGAAAAAAAAGAAGTGAACACTAAATCTTTACAACTAGCTGGTGGGGGCCTGATCCCGGTCTTTTCAGTCTAAGAGTCCCAGACGGTAAAAATCAGGGCTGGAACCTAGGTATGAGGCCTGGCAGGCTCCACACCGCCCCTAGTGGGAGCGCTGGTATAGCAGACCAAGACAGGCTCTGAGCCAGGCTTTGCAAGGACCATCAAAGATGGTGTTAAGATCACCATCTTCATCTTTTAGGCAAGGAATCGGAGGCACAGAGCAGCGAGGGACATTCCCAAGGTCACATGACTAACAGTTCAACCCAGGCCCTCTGCCCCAGAGGCCAAGCTCGGGTTCCATGGGTAAGGGAAAGAAAGAAGCCTAATTAGAATTCTTCAGTGGTTTTTGCCTTTATTTATTTATTTTTTAAATTTGTAATAGGGTACAGGTGCTTGCTGGAGCGAGCCAGAGAGAGAGAGAGAGAGTTGGAAATCATTCCGGGGGAGATGGTCACGCTGTAATCCCTTCTTCTCTCGGAATTTTGGACATGTGCTAGGCATGTTTTTCAAGCAACCAGGTTGGGATTTGAACCACAGAATCAGCCATGTGTGATCCAGTTACCTTAATTGCTATACCACCAGCTGGCCTGAGTTCTTTAGTTTTAAAACTTCAGTGACTATGGCATGGTATGATCCGTAGCAGAGGAAAGGCGGAGAGCCGAGGGCTTCACAGACAGTGGGGATGAGCTCACCTTTCAAGAGGTTAGCGGTGCTCCTGGTGAATCCTCGTGCACCTGACATGAAAGTTTGGAGCTCAGCAAGAAGGCTGAAGTGGGCCAGCCTATGGCATGTGGTTGAGGCATTGGATCCTGTCCCGACCTGGGGGACAGTTGAACAGGTTTCCTGAGGGAAGGAGTGAGAGATGGGACAAACGACGCAGTGTTACAACTCTTCAGGGTCATCCGGAGACGACGCAGTGTCACAGGTCTTCAGGGTCGTCTGGCGATTATGGGCCAGGGATCGTGATTATGTACATGTGGGTGGGCGGTGATTGGTTGAATGAAGGATTGTAAAAGGTAGGTTATGATTGGTTGCTTTTGTGGACCAATCATGAGGTGCCAGATATGCAAATCTGAGGGATTCTAAGCTCACTGATTTGCTATGGGAAGTGGCCAATCAGAGTCTAGTTTTGAAGGTGAGGTTTTTGAAGGGGAGCCAATCATGGCCTTTGGCATTGTGTAATTGCTTTTTTTTTTTTGAGAGATTTTCACTGTAGGGCACGTGCGCTCACCAGACAGAGAGAGAGAGACATGGAGACAGAAAGCGAGAAATCACCCCCCAGGGGGGATGGTCACGCCGCAATCCCTTCTCCTCCATTCTCCTCTCGGGATCTTGGGCACGCACGCACACGCACCCGGCGTGAGTTTTAAGCCACCGGGTCCGGGACACAAACCGCGGTCGACTACGTGGGAGTCCAGCGACAAAGCCATTACGCTAACTGCTGGTTCCCTGTAATTGCTTTCTGAGAAACCGCGATAGCTGGTGCGCAGCCTTCCACACGTCCCCCTTTTCTGTTTTAATTTGAGAGATGAGGAAAAGGCCTGGGGGAATCGTGCCTGTCTTAGGTTGGAGTCGTTTATGGAACCATATGTCCATTCTTATCCATCATTGGAGAGAGTCCCATAGCTATGATGGGCCTCCTGTCTTAGGTGGAAGGACTGAACAGTCATTGGGTTCATCAGACACTCTTACCCGTCTTTGGCTAGCCGATTCAGCGCCTCAGGCGAGACCAGTCGAGGATCCCACATGGCTGACGTCTTGGTTTGAATCCTAGACCCTGGTGTCTGCGGAACATGCTGGCACATGTGTGTGCATGCCCAAATCCTGAGAGGATAATGAAGAAGGGACTGTGGTATGGCCAATCTCCCCAAGAGTTCATCTCTCACTTTCCCTCTGGCAAGTGCATGTGCTCTGTAAGAACGACAAAAAAAAGAAAAGAGAAAAAGAAAGGCTGATGGTAGAGCAATATTTCCCAGACTCCTTGACCACAGAATTGCTCTTCCACATAATATTTTGTAAGCTCTAATATATGCCTCATAAACCAGACATGAGCAGGAATTTTTTTTTTTTTGAGATGTTTTTGCTATAGGGTGCGTGTGCTTGCCAGAGAGAGACACACACACACACAGAGACAGAAAGCGAGAAATCCCCCCCAAGGGGGATGGCCACGCCATAATCTCTTCTCCATTCTCCTCTCAGGATCTTGGGCATGCACGCACACGTGCCCGGCGTGAGTTTAAGCTATTGGGTCCGGGACTCGAACCGTGGTCAACTACACGGGAGTCCAGCAAGAGCCATTATGCTTACTACTGGTCCCCATGAGCAGGAATTTAAAAAATGTATTATCTTTAATTGCTTAGGGCACCTGCCTGTTATGGGCTCTCCCAGTGAACACAGCTGCTCTCCACGTGTCTCTCCATCCCCTAACCCAACCCTGACAGCCACCCTCTGTCCTGCTATTCTGAAAGGGTAGCTCCTCTGCCTTCTATCACCTTTCACTTAAACACCTAATCAGGACTCAGCCTAACTTGTGATGTCCTATTCTGTATTCAAATCTTGGCTCTCTGTATACCACTTGGGCATGTGTGCTCACCAAAGAGAGAGAGAGAGAGAGAGAGAGAGAGAGAGAGAGAAAGCCGCCAGGTCCAGGACTTGAACTGTGGTCTGCCATGTGGGACTCCAGCGCTTTAACCACCATGCCACCTGCTGGCCGATAAACAGGAATTTTAATCCTGTCTCTTGGTAGGATTAAAGACGGGGAGGGGGGGGAAGGCAGCGAACACATTAATCACTGGAAGAAATTATCAAAATTTGGGGACCAGCAAGAGGCATAGTGATGGTTTTGTCATTGGACCACAGTTTGAATCCTGGACCCAACATCTTAAAACTCATGCTAAGTGTGTGTGAGGGGGTGTCCAAACTCTCGAAAGGGGAATGTAAGAGAAGTGATTGCCGCGTGGCCACCCCCCGCCCCCAGGGGATGATTTCTTGTTTTCTGTCTCTCCAGCGAGCACATGCACCCTTATTGCAAAAATCTCTCAAAACAAAACACACAAATGATCAACTTTGGCTTACATGTTTTGAAACATTTTACAACAGAAAGAAGCACACAAAATGGCAGGACCATGGTGTTTTGGGCGTGTATATTTGACTGTAGTGGCCCTGGTGTTCATGGCTCATGGTGTCTCCACACATCCTACCCAAGAGAAGGTGTTAGCAGAAAAGGTCCAAGCACTGATGAGCTGGACCGAGCTAGACAGAGTGATACGGATGAGTGACGCCGTGTTCTATCATTTCCTGCTCGAAACACCGAGAAACTACTCTGCTATCGTGATGTTCACTGCTCTCCACAAGTTTAGATCATGTGTAATATGCAAATATGCTGCGGAAGAATTTCACATCTTGGCGGACTCCTGCCAGCGCCCCGGTGCGTTCACCAACAAGGTCTTTTTCGCTCTGGTGGATTATGATGAAAACCCCGAGGCCTTTCACATGTTCCAAGTGATGACAGTCCCAAGGTTCTTCCACTTTCCTGCAAAAGGCAAACTTGCACCACACGACATTTATCCTTTGGAAGAAAGCAATATGGTAGCGGAGCAGATGGCCAAATGGGTAGCTGAAAGAACAGAGATCAAGATCGACATCATACAGCCTGCAAGCTATCGTGGCCTCTTCAAGTCAGGGATCCTCTCGGCCCTCCTGGGTGGACTTGTGTATTTACTGAAATGGAATAGGAAATTTATTTTTAGCAAACGTGTGTGGCAAGTTTTAATGCTGTGTTTTGTGATGATCATGATGTCTGGTAAAATGTGGACTCACATGAACCGGGCGCCATATGCTCAACGGAATCCTCGCACCGGACACATGCAGTACATCAGTGAGGGCATGCGCTTTCAGTTTGCCGTGGAAACATACGTGGTTTGCCTGCTGCACGCCTGCGTTTCCCTGGGCACCGTGCTGTTAGACACGGCTGCCGCGTCCAGGGAGAGTGTCCAGAGGAGGAGGGTCATGATCTTAACTGGGGTCTGCCTGATCGCAGTCTCCTTCCCAGGGCTGCTGGCCCTCCTCAGAGTTAAAGTGCCCCCCTACCTCTACGGCTTTTCATGAGTTAAAAAGTATCCTAGAGGCACAGATGACAAAAACATTTGAAAAAAAAAATAAAACAAACATGAAACAGAAAAATGTGAATTCATAACTTTTTAAAGTGATGGCGATTTAACCAAAAGAAACAGGAAATGCTGTGACAATAAACCATTCGCTCTCAAAATATGTGTAGTGTCTGTTCCTCATTTTCTCCTGGTTAATGTTGTAGATCACTTAATTTAGCGAATTACCTTTTATTTTTCAGTTTTATTCATTTTTATTGTCAGAGGGTGTGTGCACTCACCAGAGCTAGCGTGACGGAGAAAGCACCCTCCAGTGGGGTGCGGTCACGCGGCAGTCTCTTTTTCTCCATTTCTCCATCTCATCAGATTGGGGGCACACATGCATACATGCCCAATGCTGTTTTTTCTTTTTAAATAATTATTTTACTTAACTTTATTTATTTGAACAGAAAGAGAGAGGGAAAGCGAGAAAGCAAGCCGCCAGGTTGACTCAAACCACGGTCGGCCATGTGGAAGTCCAGTGCCCTTAAACCACCATTCCACCTGCCAGCTCCCCAATATTGTTTCTCAAGCGTCTGGGGCCAGGATGCAAACCTGGGTCAGCCTGTGGGATTCAGCTCCCCATTGAAAGACTTCACTGCTGCGCTATGGGGCTGGCCCCATAATTTTTAAGTTTTCGCTATAGGGCTTGTGGGCTCATGGGGGGGGGGAGGAGAGAAAGCACCCTCCAGAATAGCCATGCCATAGTCTCTCCTCTTGGGATTTTGGGCCACACATGTGCCCAGTATGTTTTTCAAGCCACTGGGTATGAGATTCGAGCTGCTCAGCCAGCCATGTGGGACTCAGCTGCCTTAACCACCATGCCACTGGCTGGCCCTCAGTGAATTTTTTTAAGTTTATTTATTTAGAAGCCAACTGGTGACAGGGTAGTTAACGTGCTAGACTCCCACATGGATGACTATGTAGTTTGAATCCTGGACCAGGAAGCTTGAAAATTACGTCAGGTGTGTGTACATGTGTGCTCAAAACCCCAGGAAGAGAATGGAGAAGAGATTGCGATGTGGCTATGCCCCCTAATGGGTGATTTCTCACTTCACCTCTCATCTCTCTGGTGAGTGCACACATCCTATGGCAAAAAACAACCTTAAAAAAATTATTATTGAAGGGCTGGCAGGTGGCATGGTAGTTAAGGGCATTGGACTCCCACATGGATGACTGCGGTTCGAGTCCTGGGCCTCGTGACTTGCTTTCTCACTTTCCCTCTCTCTTCCTCCTGCTCTGTCCCTCTCTGGTCAAATTAAAAAATAAGTAAATAAATAAAGTTAAGTAAAATATTTTTTTTTTGAGAGGTTTTTGCTATAGGGCATGTGTGCTCACCAGAGAGACACAGAAAGTGAGAAATCATCCCCCAGGGAGAATAGCCATGCCACAATCCCTTCTCCTCCATTCTCCTCTTGGGATCTTGGGCACACACACAAATGTGCCCCGTGTGAGTTTAAGCCACTGGGTCTGGGAATTGAACCACAGTCGACTACATGGGAGTCTGGCGACATAGCCATTACACCAACTGCTGGTCCCAGTTAATAAAATAATTCTTAAAAAAATAAAAAAGCATTTGCAAGGTATACAGGTGACAGCAGACAGGAGGAACTTGTGAAATGATCAGCTGAAAATTAAGATATATGCTCCTCTTCCCCCCAAATGCCTTGGAATCCTCCTTTAGACTGCCAGCTCATTTCTAACACTATGGGTAGTGTTGTGAGCGTCCTTTTTTCTGAAGATGGTTTCAAGCAGTTGAACTCTTTCCTTTTTTTTTATTTTTTGGCTAAAGCGTGCATGTGCTTGTTGGAGAGAGAGAATGTGAGAAATCACTCCGGCGGGGGGGGGGGAACCACACCACAATCCCTTCTCCTCTCAGGATTTTGGGCACACACATGCACTAGTGTGATTTTCAAGTCCCTGGGTCCCGAATGGAACTGCACTTGACCATGTAGGAGTCCGGCACCTTAACCACCATGCCACCTGTTGGCCCAAACTTCTAGTTTTAAAAAACTACTTATTATTTTTGGCGAAAGATTTTTGCTATAGGGCACATGTGCTCACTGGAGAGACAGAGACAGACAGTGAGAAATCACCCGCAGGGGGGATGGCCGCACCACAACCCCTTCTCTTCCATTCTCCTCTTGGGAGCTTGGGCATGCACGCACACAACCGGCGTGTTTTAAGCTGCAGGGTCTGGACTCAAACCGCAGTCAACCACATGGGAGTCCTGCGATGTTACCACTATGCCATCTACCGGTTCCAACCCAGAGTGTTTTTTTTTTTTTTTTTTTAAGAGACTTTTTTTTCCATTAGCGCATATGTGCTTGCCAGAGAGATGCAGAGACAGAAAACAAGAAATCACCCCGCAGGGAGGATGGCCAAATCACAGTCCCTTCTCCTCCATTCTCCTCTCGGGATCTTGGGCACACAAATACACATGCCAGGTTTTAAGCCGCTGGGTCTGGGACTTGAACCGTGGTTGACTACATAGAAGTCCAGTGATGTAACCATTATGCCATCTGCTATCCTGTATTACTATTACTTTTAAAGTTTGCTGTAGGGCATGTGTGCTCACCAGAGACAGAGAATGAGAGAGAGAAAGTGAGAAAGCAAACACAGGTCTGGGACTTAAACCATGGTTGTGAAGGTGAGTCCAGCGCCTTCAAACCTGCTGGCCCCATCTTCTAGTTTTTCTAAATATTGGTAGCAGGGGGCCAGTAGGCGGTGCAGTGGTTGAGGCATTGGACTCCCGCATGGCTGACCATGGTTCAAGTTCTGGACCTGGCAACTTGCTTTCTCACTTTCCCTATCTTCCTCTCAAATTAAAAATAATAAATAAATCTTTTTTTTTAAAAAGAATTATTTCATTTACCTTTATTTTATTTATTTATTTAATTTGACCAGAGAGGGACAAAGTGAGACAGCAAGAGAGAGGGAAAGTGAGAAAGCAAGCTGCCAGGTCTCGGACTCAAACCGCAGTAAGCCATGTGGGAGCCCAGTGCCCTTAACCATCATGCCATCTGCTGGCCCCAATAAATAATTATTAAAAAAAAAAAGTTGGCAGCAAAAATATTGTAGGGACCAGCAGATGTCAATAGTTATGTTGCTAGACTCCCATACAATTGACCAGGGTTTGAGTCCTGGACCTGGCAGCTTAAAACTCACACTAGGTACATATGTGTGCATGCCCAAACCCCAAAGAAGGAACTGTGGTGTGGCCATCTCCCTTGGAGGGTGGTTTCTGTTTCTGTGTCTTTGGCAAGCACACACATGCTATAGCAAAACTCTCTAAAAAAGAAATGAACCAAAAAAACCCAAAAATATTTTAAATACCAACAGAAATTATTGAGACTGAAGGAAGGCCTGGAAAGAGACGTTTTGGTTTTAGAACAACACCTTCAATTATGAACTGAAGGGCAGCAACAATCCTGACGTTACAGTGCAGAGTCAGAACCTCAGCAGCGTTCTCTTTCCCGCACGCCCTGGGTGGGCTGTGTCCCCGTGGGCCTGAGTGCGTCCTCCCAGCTCGTCTGGTCTCTCCTTCCTACCTGCTCTCAAATTCTCTAGCCTCCAGGCAGTTCGCAAGCCTGGGTTCTTGCCACCCCCACTCCCCCCAGGTCTTCTATCTAAGGGAAAATGGGTGCAGGAGAGCCAGGAAGGCTCCCTAAAACCCGAGCTCCACTCACGAGTCCCAGCACTGTTCGTCACATTCGTGTATTAGCTCATTTAACGCCTCAACAGCTGTTACCGACTTTCATACAGGAAGCAAGTGAGATATACAAACATCAAACTTGCCCAAGTGTACTCACGTGTCACACAGTTAAGCTGAACCCAAGACCTAATGACTCTAAAGCCTAAATTAAAAAAAAAAAAAATTGGGGCTGGCAGGTGTCTGGTAAGGTGCTGCACTCCCACATGGCCAACAGTTTGAGTCCCAAACCTGATGGCTTACTTTATCACTTTCCCTCTCTGTCTCTCTCTGGTCAAATTAAAATAGTAATAAAAAAATTCAAACAATTCTTTAAAAGATGTTTTTTCAGTTTTTTTTTTTTTGCTAGAGGGCATATATTCACTTTAGAGAGAGAGAGAGAGAGAGAGAGAGAGAGGGAGGAGAAAGCACTCCCTGTGGAGAATGGCCCTCAGAGATGAGATGCCTTCTCCTCCATCTCTCCCTCCTATCAGGATTGTGGGCGCGTACCCACATGGAGCTAGCGTTTCTCAAGCCGCCAGGTATGGGACTCCAACTGCGGTTGGCCCTGTGGAATCTGGCTGCCTTAACCAACAGGTCAGAGAGCCAGCCTCTCTATTTTTCCTGAGTTAGAGAGCGCCCCAACAGACAGGGCCAGACCTGGGGGTTGCTGGCACAATCACCTGCCCCAGGGCAGTGGCCTGCTGTCCTTGGGGAAGTCGCCGGGCTTGGGTCCTGAGCCTTCACATGGCAGACCGCCTCCGGAGCATGGCGTTCTACTGCGGAACTGTCCGGGACCCTAAAACCTAAATCCCCCAAGCACCTGGTTTCTCTGCAGAGCAGTAATGACCACACGACAGGAAGTTTGGGGCAAAGCTTTTCTTTTTATTGCAGTTATTGTGAAAGTTGTTATACTTCAAACTGAAGCTAAGCGACACTAAAATAGTTTTTAAAATCAAGGACTGAAAACAAACACAACATAGAACTCTTCCCATATGAGGAATGGCAGAAGAAAGGGTGGTCCTATCACAGGACACTTCAGTGACAGTTTGGCTCAGAAAGAACGATGACAACTTCTTCAACATAAACCACTGGGACTGACTGAACTGCTTAAAACCAGCTTCTTAAAATTTTACAATTTCACCCACAAGTTTTATGTAGTAATTTTTTTTTGGGGGGGGAGATTGTTTAACTAAATACGGTAAATTTACTCTCAGATTTTAAATACTGAAAACAAACACTTTGGTTCAAAAACTTTATTTGCCTTCTGCTCATAATTACATAGTCTTCAAAGAGTTAAAATGACAACCAAATCCAAAGCCTGGCCCCCAAGGACACAGTGACAGGATCCTGCATT